TCATATGTATGTTCCAGACAGCACTAGATAATGTCAATCCCATTCTCGCCCATTACACGACGCAAGATTACGGTAGCAGTTTTACTGGTACAAAAGGGGTCCCACATTCGTAAAAAAAACCTACTCTCGGAGGTGGAGCAAGATTAATGTAATGGTGAAGAACACTGAGAGCCACACCAAATATGCTGAGCACTAGGCAAGCGATACAAACTCGATAAGCATTTTTCTGTGATACATCAATTCTGCCGAATCCGAGAAGATCAGGGCTGGAAACCTGAAAAAAGACAGATGAGAATAGTTTTTCTCGGTTTAAATAGCATTTTATAGATACTATGCAAAAATTTTGGTCATTTACGCGTTTTGAGAGTGCAAACGTGAGAAATTATTTAGAAAGATGATGCACAATTTTTTCTCACAAAATCTGCGCAAAATCTTTGCACCTGCCCACCTACCGTAATCACGGTAACACGAAAGAATACGGTAGGTGGACATCTTTGAAAAAAACTGCAGGAAAGCCTAGTTTGTCGGTCAAGCATGTCATCTTTAGATTTTACCCTTTCTACGTAGGTACTTTACCACGGTACCTTATTCCGGTAGTCAAGAGCGGAAAACAAGAAAAAAATAACCTAAACAAGATCTGCCTTCCTTTTTTCTTAAGATTTTATACATAGAGAAGCGAGAACCCACGCGAACCATCTTTTTTTATTTCTTTGTTTCAGAAATTCAAAGTAATTTTGTAAAATATCTAATGAGATTCATTCCTACCTGCAGGCAATTCACGATGTTATTTTCAAGTCTAAGAGCTCGTTTCTCGTACGCAAGCTTGATTTTCTCAGATTTCTTAGTGCTTATTGTCTTTGAAGTCACTTTCTTTGTGTTTCCATGAGACTTTGCTGTCACGCTTGCTTCTTCCTCCTTCTTTACCTTCTTATGCTCCTCTTTCTCTTTCGCTTCCTTCTTGTGCTCCTCCTGCTTGTGCTCATTCACACTATTCTCTTTCTTTACCTCCTTGAGATCCCTCTTAACTGGCGCATGTTCCTTCTGGACCTTGGCAGTAGTGTCCGATACAGTACCTGCTTGTTCACGAGGCTTAGCTTGGAGATGATCAGCATTGACCACTGGGAGTGCTTGGGGAGTAAGAACATGCTGTTCAGAGTGTGAAGCTGGCTTCGATTCTGCGGCAGTTTTCGGAGTACTGACAAGACCGGGTTGCTCCATAATATTCAGCTGGCCTTTGCGGCGCCTGAGATTTTCCTCATGTACTTCTTCTAGACTTTGATCCTTCTTTGTCAGTACCTAAAAATGCTCATTTCCATTATAGATGAAAAGTCAGATCAAAGTCGAAAAGAGTTCGGGTTTGATTATCAAAATACTTATGAAAATCGTCAAGTCCGAAGATATATGGTCTGGTGCTTTTTGAACACTTCAAGCTTCAAATCCGAAGTCCTTCACACTCCAAAAAGATTAGGCAAATTTGACGAAGATTGGGGAAGGAGAAGGAAGGGGTGGGACAGGGAGAAAGAAATGGCGACAAAGCATAAAACTGCTTAAAAGATTGATAAATCGTGGAATCGGCACGGTAAAAAAGCTCCTCACACTCGTAACTTCAATGAAACTTTTAGCTTGACAAATGTAGTGCGAGCAACTGACCATTTAAGTTACAAATGACTCGACTTTA